GGGGGGTTGAGGTTGTCAAATAGACATTATTTGAGTAGATGATATAACCTGAAAGGTGAATATGGGCTTTGCCAAGGAACCAAATGTCATAGAGGAAATGTTCAGGTTTTTCAAGACGTGAACACATGGCTATCCTCTGATGGCTTCGTTAACGTGAAACTGGTACAGTCGTAGATGAAGATCTGCCTTGAGAATGCGGACCGTTGAGATGTAGGAAAGTCATTGCTGCAGACATCGTCTACGAGCATACATCTCAAGGGGCTAATCTACTGAATTCTGCACCCTTGTGACTTTTAAAGGGGGGCAAACGGTGTGTGTTTGACCTGAAGTGGTCGTTTTGTCTGGGAATTTTTAGTTCTGATTCTCTACAGGTCCTAACCGACGGACCATTCCCACCCTTGACATCAAAGAAAGCCTTAAGAGCACTTTAACATTATTTCCGTACCATGTGTGCAACTTACGAAATGAGTTGGTTATGAGAAAATGTTACAAACAAAATGCTCTCTGCTCTTATCTGATCTTAACCATGATCTCAGCAGGCAAAGGAAACTTGAGAAAATCTAACTGCAAACTTCTGTTGGCCTGTTAGACTACTGTAGTTTGGAATATGGCGCAATCGTTGGGATTTTTAGCAGGGGCGGCTCTTGGGGCTAAAAAGTGGACGTGCACACTTAAGCAATCGCATACTGAAGATAGTCAAGGGCATAGTAAATGAGACGGTGTAGACTCTATAATTTTAGGATCCTTGGGTTGGTGAGGGAGGACCTCGTGCTTTTATTTTCATTCTTTTTATTAGTCGCTTTGATTTTTAGTACTAAATCTGTTTGTTAGCTAAACATCAATTTCGCTCATCCTGTATGGGAACTGAGCACTCAAGTACATAATAACGTTCACTACTCCACTACAAAACCATTGAAAGGCACAACTCAAAGGGCGGTCACGTTCACCTCCCTCAGGTTCACGGTCACAGAGTCACTTAAAATAGTGGCAAGACAGACAATGAACCAATCACAATTCACTTGAGCACTCCGCTGGATTGCCCCGGGGCTCTCATAATATTGGCAAATAGCAGCGTACAGTCTATCGCGTTAATTTTTAGACTGCCTACTGTGGCCTATGTTTCGGCACCGTTCGACAGGAGCACATTTGAGATGTGCCGTCTTGTTTATATTAATGTACCGCCAAACTCGCTACAAGTGTCGTCATCGCTTGGGTTATCCTCGAGAGCGATTTATAGGTATGGTTACACTGTTGAATACAATGGAACTCGGATTCAACGAGGTCGCCGGGCCTGACCTAAAATCTCGTTGAATCTGAGTGTTCGTTATAGAGTTATAGCAAACATGAGGTTTTGTGTAAATAATTACAAGCACTGAGCAAGTGATGTATAAAGAGAAGTAACAAGTGGTGCCTGAAATTCCTGCATATTATGAGCAGTGCAAAACAAAAAAAAAAAAGAAAAAGAAAGACCAATTCGTTCAAATGCACGCATGTGTCATCTCAATTGTTTGCCAAAAAGTTGTGTTGCTGTGTAGAGCCTAGCATCCGTTAACTTTTGATTCTATAGACCAGCGCAAAATTCATTACGCAGATCTACGTCAAGACTAGCTTATTGTAATACTGATCAGTTCCCGGG